ATCTTTCTGTATAGCTAGCTTTTCGATTTTAAAACTCGAAACACGCTCCTGCAGCTTTGTTCGAGTTTTATAAGAAATGTTGTAAGGGCGTTCACGGCGCCCTTGGGGCTCAAAAGGATTAAAGAGAGATGGACAATGGGGAGCTTTCTTCATCAATATTAAGATTAACTAAGCCACGTGAGTGCACAAAAGAATCGTCTGAAAGTATTTCGTACACTACAAACGAATACAACTTCTCGTAGCTCTGCATTTCGTGATGAGAGGGAGCAGGCAGAGAGAAATGAGAGGAAGAAGAAAGAGACAGAGAATTTGCGTCGAAGACACTGATAGATGTCCACGCGCGCCAATAGAAAAGACCCCGCGTCTAATTCAATTGCAGGCGGCCGTTCCGCAAACACTCATGATAATTCAATCAAGTCTACCCTATGACGTTATATCCACTTTCCGTCGCCCTGCATGACCGGCCTAACCCCCGCAGGACAGCGCCGCGGAGGGTGGAAGCGGCTCGTAATCTCCGTATGAGAACATCTGCACTCTAATCGGCTGATGATATCCGCCGAAACCATTCGTTCCCTGTTTCTTACGCGCACACGCGTCTCTCCTCTCACGCGGACGAAATAAATCGTTTGTCAGTATAAGCGTCGGGCTGAACAATTGGGATTAGGGGGGAGGCGAGTCGAAAATTGGCGTAGAGATCCTTATCTCTGGAAATTTACTATCGATTATGCACACCGGCTGTTTGCCGCGACACTGCCTAGGAAGCGATCGTAATTTTGGAAGACTCTGAAAACTGGTTCCCGATGTCCCCGCAGGAGCTTGCCAAACACCTCTCGCGAATTAATTCCTTCCGCCTCTTTACGATCGAATCGACCTGTACGGCAGTCGTCAATATTTCTGTCGCTTCACAGTCCGTTATTAGTGGACTAGGTCGGGTCAGCGCAGAGAAATATTCCGTTTTGCGGGCGCCGCGGATAGCCGAATGGACCAGAGGTCGCGTCACCAATATCGTCACGCTTAATTAAAGGTTCTTTTTTTCGAAGAAAGGGAAAAAATCAATCCTCTCTCTTTCTCTCTCTCGGCGCTATACCCGACTGCGTGTCTGCAATTTCGGTGAGCAACTGTATGTAATATTCTGTGCGTGCGGAAATATCAAAAAATATCTGACTTGCTCGCAGAGCCTCGTGTGAAGAATCAAAGTATCGCTTTTCCGTCGCGAAATATCGGTCGCATCTTCGCGACACTCGTCTATGCGTGTGTGTGTTACACTTGCCGCGATGTATCGAATACATGAGACGTTCCTTCTTCTTCATCGCTACTCTCGCGTCTCTCCTTGCCGATTCCTCTCGGCACATCGTCACATTAGCTTTCGGTGGCGGACCACTTATCAATGTCAACACGGCACCTTTGCGAGTCCGGTCGTCTACCGCGTCGTGTCTCTCTCCCTCGGTTGTTTATTGTCATCCCGTCACGGAGAAATTGCCGGGTAAACAAACGCGCGTCATCGCGGCATCGCGCTAATCACATCGCGTACATTCGCTCTAATTACGCAGCCGTGTGTGCGCGCGCGCGCGCGCGTGCCGTGTGACTTACATGATAGAAAGCCGGCGGCGTGCAGATACGAGGCCGCTCACGCTCGCACGCTTGATACCGGTTAGAAAGAGAGAGAGAGAGAGAGAGGGAGGAAAAAACAAATATTTAAATATTTAACACCGACGTCAGGGCGGAGTTATATGCGTCGGTGAGCGTCCGAGCGAGGAATCCCGTCATTAATGTCCCGGTCGTTCCCGATGCACGGAATGCCGATACCGCGTAACTCCGTTTCAGGGTCTAATCATGCAAATGTATGAGCCGTTAATTAAAACCGACGTAAACCGTATTTCGTCCGGACGCGGCGCGACGCAATGTGACGCGGGAGAAAAAGAGAGGATCGACATTTTTGCGTCGCGTCACCGTGCGCGCGCGCGAAAGAGAGATAGATAGATAGATAGAGAGAGAGAGAGAGAGAGAGAGAGAGAGAGAGAGACACGCGGCTCGCGCTCGAGTGCGAATTTTTGTTGGTTGCGGGAGCGAGCGAGCGAACCGTGTTCCTCTCTCCCTCCGAGGCTGCACATATTGATACGGAGCTCGTAAATAGCGGACAAAGTTGCACACGCTGCGGTGTAATTTGCGAGGAAGCCACATCAAGGGCCTCCGCATCGGTAGAGTAAGAGAGTAGTTGACGCGAGAGCATACGCGCGCGAGCGTCACGTGTGTCGCGAGGAAATCGCGTTACAACCGCACGTCGACGTGGACCAACTGATACTCCACTCGCACGAGCCGTCCTGTCGCCAACGCGATGAAATTTCGACGACTGGGAGTCTCGACGAGTGTCGCGCGACAGGGACAGCGCGACACTCCCCGCCTCAAAAATTTCGAGGAGATTCATTATTCGTCGCGTTTGTCTCGCTACACTGAGGACAAATTTCTACACAGAGAAAAAAATTGGAAATTTATTTGCGGGACGTAAAGTTTGCTTCTCTGTGAAATAAAGTTTTTTCGCAAGTAAAGTTTTAAAGTTTCTTTCTCAGAGTATCGTGGCGTACATCATGCGCATCTTTGTAGTGGAAAGAATATTTTCGATTGCAAATCAGTCGAATTTAAAAAAGGAAGGTTTCGTGATTAATTCGCACCCCCCCGCCCCCCCCCCTCCCCCGCTTCGGCTTCGTGTATTCGAGGAGAAGAGTGCCTCATTCTCTTCGAAGAAGGCTTTAATAACTGTTTGCTCGTATGTTTTGATTTCCGACAGCGGAGCTCGCTATTAAGCCGCCGGGAGTGCATGTGGCGCAAAACCGGCCGAGTCTATTTTCGACTCAACGGCGCAACAGTCGCAAAGTACATGTTCGCGATTAGGTGGTAACAAATGAATTAAATTCCTCGCGCGAATTAAAACCGAGACATGCTTTAAATACTTGTATCGAGCAGAGCTGTTCGACTTTTTAATCGTACTTGAGATTTATCCAGCGGAAGATTGTACGTTTTCTATTGCGCGCACCGCGAGATCTGATTACGGAATGAATCACCGGACATTTCCTGGCGGAGTTCCGGGGTCTACCGAAACTTGGAGTCTCCTTTGTTCTAACTATGATCTAGCCAAAGTTGTTGCAAGCTTCCCGGCCGATGTTCGCAACGTTAGCCAAAGTGGAAACGCGACAGCTGAAACAAAGCATGCTTTTGCCACATCTGTATTACGATACACGGATTACAGATTTTTAGACTATCGCCTTAGGATTATTGTTGCTTGTGTGCGCGCGGCAGCCGAGGATCGCATCGATTTCCATCCTCGCGCTGTAACGCGCGATCGCGAGCTTTTACAATTTCCACGTTAATTTAATTGTCGTTCCTTGGCGTATACCACGAGAGCCTGTTTCGCGACTTAATTATTCATCCATCCCATTGAACATTATCGAATTAATCGCCAGGGTAAATGAAGGACCGCGAGCTCGCATCGTGACGCGCCGCCGCCGGCGCGCCGCGCCGTTGCGGACGCGCGTTCATCATTCTTCGCGAATAAAATGTAGCACCGCAATAATTATGAGAGATAAATGCGGCAGATATTAATGTTGCCCCGCGATAATTGCGATCTCGTCGGCGCGCCCGCGCGAAAAACACGTGTTAAACGCAATACTGCTAACATTTAATTACAGAAAATCATCGGCGAATCGTTTCGTGCCGTTAAATATTCCATGTATCCGATTATGAAAATGCGATAACTCCGGTTAATAATAAATGAGATCACGAGCGCCAGCAGCACGCGAAAAAGACTCGTCCGAGTTCTATGAGCGCATCATCGACTCCACGTCACTGTGAGGATCGTGAGGGACACTAAGTACACCCACGTCGCATGTCCTGATTTGAATTCCATGAGGAAACAATAATTTTGGTCTTAACGCGACGTCTTAATTCGTTCAGCTTCTCTTCGCACTGAGAAAAAATGTTTGACGTTTGTAACTACAGTGTCGTAAAGAAATAATTATTAAAAATTATAAAAACCATGTTTTAGTGAAATTTTACTTTAATATTAGTGATGATACCTTATGCATACATTACTGCTACAACACTTTCGTGTTAAAACAAGCAAAGATTATAGTTGGGGCCGAAAGTAACTTTATTGGATTGGAAATAATCTTTATTGGATTAATCAATATTTTCTTTCAGTGTACCCTTACGTTTCCCTTCATTATTTTGGACGCTCATTTATTTTGCGATCTGTTTGTTATAAATTCAGTTTCTATGCCGTAGATCGTATGATCAAAAAAAGAGCAATCGTTGGACGTGATCTACGTAACACGGATCGTTAGCCTGTCTTGCAATTAAGATCGTCTGCAAGTGTCAACATATCGCACGACAAGAACGCTTTACGCACTCTTGATTATCAGCCACGCGTACGAAATCTTTTCGGTAATTGCAACGCCGTTTACAGTGCAACATAACGCTGCATCGCAGAGTATTCTCCCAGTCACTCGCCGATCCTTCACGTTCGAAAGTCAGAATGCAAATCTGATGTAAATCAATTCTGTTCAATGTGTTTTCGACCTGAGTCGGTCGATGTTGCGGAGTACATATTTATCAAGTTTTATTTTGCACCAAATGAGTGTTATTCTCGCAGACTTTTACGGTAAATAATTCCGAAAGGACTCCAGAGGAAGATACGGCTTATCTGTCATAATATTTAAGGTATTTAGAACGTTATGACAGATACATACGGGCAGATTGTGCGAAGCGTTTCATGAAATATGGACGCAAACTCATCAGAGATGAATTCACGCGAAAATAAATGGAAAGGTTTCAGAATACAAGTACATTTGTTCTACGCGGCCTGTCTTTCTCAGCTGAACCAGTGCCGTGCTTTTTCCTTCGAAGGGATTAGGCTATACACTTGTTTACGTTCTAAAGACAAGAAGTGTTGTTGAGTTAAGGAGAATAGACTTCTTATCGCCAAGGGGTGCGCATCTGATACTCACTCTGCGTAGGATCGCTGGGCTCGTCCTGTATATTCACCGGCGAGATCTTCAGTGATCTTGGAGGGCCCTGGAAGCCGATGGGCCCGGGCCCCCCGGCTGCGCCCACCCGCTGCATTACGCCGGCACCCCCTATTTCCGCAGCTCCTCCACTCCTGCGCACCTCGCGCGACGGTTTTCGAGCAATCTTGAAGCCTTCGTACCGACCACAGGCCGTATCCCTATATTCGCGAAACTTCAACGGCGCTCGCGAACGTCCACCCTTTCGCGAGCGTGCCGAGATCACCGGCGGTCCAGATCCGCTCCGGGCAAAACGGATAGCCGCGTTCCTCGTCTCGTCGAAAGATTCTCCGGCACCTGAACTGCAGTATCCTCACGCGATCAAGAGCGGTACTTTCGGGGCAGTCAATCTCGAACGATCAACTGCTTGATATCGATATTTATAGCGCGGCTCACATTGTAGCTTCATCGAAATTGGGAAGGAGTCTCTCGTGGCAGAGGATGAAAAAGACTTCGCGCATTCGTCGGCTCTCGACGACTTGACACGCGGGTTCAAATATCCCACCGGTGCGTTGTCTGTGCTCCGGTCATGCATCGACTTCTCGACGTTCATCCAGAACGCCCGGTACTCCCGCGATTTCTCGCTAGATCGTGGATTCACTCGGTACTTGGACGATTTCTAGCTTCGCACGTAGGAAATTTGCTTAATTCGTCCGGTATTTCTCTCTCAGCGTTGCTCCAGCGGTGTAGTCGCTCCAGCCGCCTCATTCTTTCACTTTGTTGCCGCGAAGACTTCTTCCGGATTACCGGAAGTCTTTCTTCCACTCTTTCGCGGTACTTTCCTCGCCACCTTTATCGACTCACCCTGTAAGTTCTACGACCGATTTTCTGCGAGTTTTCTCCGCTAAGCAAGCGGGATATCACCGACGTGACACAAGGCAGACATTTACCGGCTACTGCGATTTCCGTGGCCGATCTCCTCGTCCTTACCACCGTAACGGGTGCTCCCGGGAGTCATCGACTGCTGTCAGGCCCTGGGTCCATACACGGGGACCGACTCGCGGTTGCGACACGTCGCGGCACTTGACACGACAGCGCGATTATGTTCTTATCACTCACTATTAGCGGCGAGAAGAAGCGGCCGGTGGCGACGTGAAAGCAAGACGAATCTTCACTAGCCGCGACGTACGAACGGGTTGAACGAAAACGGCGGACAATGGCGAGCGCGAGCAAAAGAAACAATCATTGTGGCAGGCGAAGGCGGACGAAACCTCGAGGAAGGTAGAGACCGCGGAAGAGCAGGAGGATGGTAGGGGGGTAACAGCGGGAGGAAAAGAGAGAAAGAAAGGGGAGGCCGAACTGAGAGAAAGAGAGAGGGGAAGAGAAGGAAGAGAGAGAGGGAGAGAGAGAGAGAGAGAGAGAGAGAGAGAGGAAGAGAGACGCACGGTTGCACGAAACTACCCCAACGAGACTGACGGCGCGGGGCCCTGGGAGCCACTGACTGCCAGTTATGTAGGTGTCTCGCTATAGTCTGCTCGAGAACGCGACCCAACCTAACCGAGCTGCCAACCTCCTCCTCCTCCCCCCACATTATTCGCTCTCACTCTCTCTCTCGCTCGTTCGCTCTCTCCCTCCCTCTTTCTCTCTTTTATCTGCTCTCTCTCCCTCGCTCACGCACACCGCCGACGGTGCCCCACTACCAACGTACCCCGCACTCTAACCTTCCTCCCTTCCAGCATCGGGCGTCCACGCTGGTGCGTCCTATCGAACGCGAGAGAACGGCGTGCGATCCCGGCCGGATTCGTCCACGCGGTGGAGTCGACGCCGTCCTGCATCCACGCCTCCACGACCCCGGCGAGCCGGCAACAAAATGGCCGACCGCGCACCTAATCGATTCGCGTGCCAGTCCTCTCTCTGCCTCCTCCGCGACTCTCGTATCCTTTTCCTCCTTGCCGCGCAGGACGCCGTGAGTCCACCTCCATCTCGACGCTCTCTCCTCCTACCGACGCTTGCTCTTTCTCTTTTTTTTTTCCTCTCTCTCTTTCTCTGTCTCCTGATCTCTCTTTGCCTCTCCGCGTGCCTCTTCTACACTTTCCTTCTCCTGCTACCCTTCTCTTTGTACGCTCCCGGTCGCCCTTCGTTGTTCCTTTGTTTCGTTTCTCTTCCTCTTTCTCTCAATCTCCCTCTTGTTCTATCGCTATCGATATGTCGTCGTATTCGTCTGCTCGTCTTTGCCGACGTATTTTCTCTTGTCTCCTTCTCTCTCTTTCTCTCCCTCTCCCTCTTCACCCTCCTTGGTCCATCGTGCCGTCCCTTAGGCTTCTACACGGTTCTCATTTCCCTCCCTTCTCTCTTTATCTCTCTCGCTCCCTCTTTCACCCTCTCCCCGATGATCCGCCTCGCTGGCCGACGTCGGCTGAGCGGTAACCAAACGGTCTGGTATCTATGTCGTGCCTGCAGCACGCTACGCTCGTGTTCATTCGACTTTAGCTCGCGATATCATCCTCTCCTCGCGCTCCTCCCTTGTTTATTTTTCGGCTACTTCGTGGTTGCGTCGTCCTGCCTGTGCAACTGCACCGTTCACGACTTCACTTGGAGAATTTTCACAAAATGAACGTCACTATCTGGCATTTCTTTACCGTCGTGTGTGTTAAATGAATCCTTTATCTCGACAGAGTGATCGAAATTAACAACAATGAATTTGGAGGAGATGCGAATCAATATGCGACGTGTTCATTCGAAAATATCTCGTGAGGTTATCGTTTGTTTAAATTAATGACGATGTGAGACCAGATTGGGGGACACAACGTGCTCATAGAATAGCAGGATAATCGAGTGAAGGATATGACGAACTTCATGTTACTAAAAATAGTTGTCTAAAGATCTGGAAGAATTAATCATCCAGCTTTATTAATGCTTTCACTGGATTTTCCTGGACTCTTACAGAAATTACTTGCTTTTCTCTGTCTCTTGTCTATCTCTATCCTGATTTAATCTACTTATTTTTAGCTTTGCTTGGTAGTTTTGCTCGCGCTAGACGCTTAGATATTCTCGTTTCTCTCCTCATTCTAACCTGATCTATTTCTCTTGTAAATATTTGTTCTTTGTAGGATACAATAGTACGCCCTCGCGTACTACTTTCTACTCCCCTTTTTGCTTATCTGCAGTGGGTGTGACATTCGGTGCGACTCGTGCTTCATCTTGTGTAACAATTCCCTTTATACTATACCAGATCGTATCTCTCTCGAGCCGGATGACGAATCGTGAGATACGAGATGAGATATTTACGTTAAATAATTCCGAGGCGCGCAATAACGCGCGATATTATGTATGCGGGAGAAAAACACAAGGTGCAAGGTTAAGTTATCAGTGGTGAGGTGTTCCATGCATTAGCGTGAATCATTGTACCAGCGATCGCCGAATACTCGGCATCACTTTAAACGATTAAAGAGGCACGTCGATCGTCACGGACGATCTAACTCTAATGGCGGCCACTTAAGCGCGACGTGCAATTTTTCAAAATTAACGTACAGCCCCGACGCTCTTTGTCGTCTGTCCCGTGAATGCGTGAGGTCTCAAAATGCCGTTCCGCCGCTCTTTTGGCGACTATCAGCAACATTTCGTCGCCCTCCTAACCTGGCAAAGTTCTGTTTTATAGAAATATTCGAGGACACCGCGAGCGCGCTTCCCGCAGAAGCGACAGAACTCTTCCTGCCTGTCGCTGGTCGAGGTATCGATTAGGTCGATTTCTGCGCAATGTCCGACAGAGGTTAGAAACGTTGCGCAGAGAGCGAGAAGTTCGGCCGGCATTCCGTCAGATAAATGAAGGTGAAGTGCAAGTTTTTAAGCATACTTAGCGGATAACTTCGGCAATAAATCGGAAATGGAAGAGTTCGACACACGCAGGTGAAGCGATTTCACGCCCCGAAAATCTTCCCATTAATTTCGAATTACGGCTGTGTATATACGCTCTATCTCTCGACACTGAGAGAAAAACTCTTGAGAATTTATCTCTGCGGGATATATAAAGTTTGTTTCTGCGAAATAAAGTTCCTTCTCCGTGAATGTGAACTTTATATCCCACGAATAAATTTTCAAGTGTCCTTTTCTCTCAGTGAACAAAAAATCGGGGAAATATAATTTTACGTCTGTGGCTGAAGAATTTGCAGTCTCGGGTTTAACATCTCTCGACAAGCGGCAAGGTGTGTCTCCGTGCCCGTGACAGAAATTCCTTACCGTCTTACGATTCTTATTCTCTGTTTGCGCGGAATTCCGCGGCACGGAAACTCCACTGAAAAAATACTGAAGACTAAAACGTTAGATACACGCTACCGTCATGCAGAAACGAGCGACTGAGATGGACAACTTATCCAGCAATTGTTATCAGCGAGTCGAATTTGAGAGACGAGGTGTTGACGTTTTATGTTTCCTCTTCTTCAAGTTTTATCGGCCGTACAGCTAGCTATAACTCGCTCTCTTTAGTTTTTCCGACTGCTTCATTTTCGCGTAATAGCCACTTGATTGTTACACGAGCGATTCTAATGTCGACTGAGTCCACCGTTATCGCAGCTCTGACGCGACATGACAGTAGATCGAAATGAAATTCAGTTTGCCCGCGCTGTTCATTGGACTTTTTCGGCGTGGCAGATCGTGGTTTACTCGCGGAAATAAATGTTTCCCTCGCTTGTCGGGTCGCTAATTCATTTTCGCTACCGTGCGATATTACGATTCAATCTTACCGAGATTTTTGCTCGAAAATCTCGTTAAGTCATTTCATCTTTATAAGATACGTCCTGCATTGTCGTATCAATGTCTTATGAGATTATGTCTGCGGAATGTCGGAATTGAACACCGCGACAGTTGTTTTCACATTCCAGCCAGAAAAACACGATATTATTTGACCCGCTTAAAAACCCTCCCCCTTCATTTATCCGACGTTGCCTGAATATTACTCGGAGAAACAAGATATTTCGATATTTCCCGTCGAAGTCGCGTGATTATTTTCAACGTAGAGCAAATGGACGAGAACAGAGTTATTCAACATCGGATGCATTCGTTGCAGATTTTCTGCGAATCAAATCGGAAAAAAGCAAATGTAAATAAGAAAATCCTCTCTCTTTCTCTCTCTTACTTTCTTCACTAAGAAAAGATAATTAGAGATTTATTTGTGTGGGATGTGTATTCACAGAAATAAACTTTATTTCAGAGAAATAAACTATATCCCTCCCAGGAGAGTAAATTTTATTTTGCACAGGAATAAACTTTATATCCCACAAATAAATTTTTAAGTATTTTTTCTCAGTGTTCTTTAAATCATTATTTCTCAGCCAATTCAGAATGAATTTCTCAACTCGTCTCGCAGATGAGTTGTTGAGATAATTTTCATCTGAACTGTTACGAACAAATCGACGCCGTTATCGCCCAAAAATGTACAACTGAGAAAAAGTAAACGATGTTCTCTCGGCATATAACCTTCGTGTATTTTAAACGAATAAGTCGAACGATCGTGCCAAAGATACTAGCGATGAAAGTGGAAGCTAATATCATTAGACTTCGACATTGTGATTCTAAAACGGATAAGGATGACGCATCTGCACTGTCCGCTAGACATTTTTTCTCATCATCTTACGCGCTGCAAGATAATAGACGTTATCGTGCAAAGTGGAAGACGATCAGACGATTGCAATTAACGCTGCAATCGGCGATCGATAATTGCCGCTAAATGCGTGGCGCTAAATGAAAGTGAAAGCACGGATATTCGGCCGTACGGATATTCGAGCTCATCCGGCAGATATATACGCTTCGCCTGTCGTCTAACCTTCGCAGGATCAATATTGATCCGCTCGCGCGGCCGTGACGAGATGAGCGGAACTTTTGAATAGCGCGAACCCGGGCCGCAACGGACCGCGGGCGCGGTTCTCGCGTGCTGAACGGCACAACGGCGCGATTCAAGCAGAAATTCCTTTCTTCGTGCCGAGGCGAAAGGAGCTTGCGCAAAAAAAGAGCAGCGGCTTCGAGTGGCGTGCTGCGATTCGCACGGCAAAAAAGGAAAGAGCTTTCGCGGTTCGCTTGCGGCGCATTAGCTAATCCGCGTTGCGCCAGCACGCCGCTGCCGAGTCGATCGGCGCGAGAGAGAAAGAGAGCTACGCTACTTCCCGCCCGCTCGTACCGAATAATATCGAACCGACCAGGTTACACACACTGTGCGATCCACCCGCGAAAATCCACTTTTAGAAGAGGTTCAAAGGAACGAGAGATGAAAATTAACGAAAAATACTAAATTTTGCGATAATTAAAAGTATTTACTTGAAACAAGACTTAGAATTGGAACCTTAATTTTAGTCATTTGAATATGACGCGCGATATTTGAGACACCAGAGTAGTACCGGTGAGTTGCTACGAGCTCTCTCGCATTTATACATTCTCTTAATTAAAGTGAATCAGTGAAACATTGAAAGCAGTGAATATATATTGATTTGCAATTATAAGTATAGCATTGAAACTGCTCA